GGGAGGGGGGTTAAGGGGGAGATTGAGGCAGAGTCACCAGACGACATGGCAAGAGCATCGCACTCAGCCGTTGATACGTCTGATGAAGTTCAGAGGAGGGATTGCACTTATTTTCTCGCTCCGGCTTCTTTTATATCTTGATACAGACTCCGCTGGTGCTTTAGCCAGGGCCCATGGGCTTTTATCTATGCATAAGCACCATAAGCACTGAACTTTACCGATGCGGATTTTCCACTCACAGCTTCCATTAATGCACAGTCGGCTTATAACGTACGCTCATTCCGGCCAGACTTCTTGGGAGCTGGGGCACGGTAAAAATTTGTTAAATATCTGCGTGTACTCGGAGTCCCGGGGAGAATTTATCTCCTCTCGCGGGTGATGGTTATCTTGAGGGGCTTGAGAGAGGATTTAAGAGCTGAGAAGGAGGCTTGAGGGATGGATTTTATGGGGGATTTGAAAATAGAGGGAGGAAAAATTGCTTTTGTCAAGGAATCATTTTTTTGGGAGATGACTTCATTTTTATTAGGATACGGATGCAAAATTTAGGTGGAAAACCCGGCGATTTCGGGGAAAATTTTGGTGGATTTCTATTGAACTTCCTATTAGTTTTTGATCGATTCTATTGAAATTTTGAGTTGAAAATATTCAATAGAAAAAGTCAGAATTCGGTTTTGTATATAATTTATTCTAGTGAGATATGTTCTGCAGAATGTCCTCGGATCGAGTTTTCTAAGTACAATAGAATGGAAAAAGGAAATAGACAGTAGAATGAAAAAAACTTGGAAAATTTGAACAGACGAAATTGTATAGAGAATATCTAAAGAGAATAAGTTATATAGAAATCGAATTCTATTGACTTTTTCCATTGAATATTTTCTACTGAACGTTTCAATAGAATCGGCCGAAAACTAACGGAAAGTTCAATAGAAATCCAGTAGAATTTTCTAATGAATTTGCTCGGTTTTTCTACTAAATTTCTCGAAATTTCTATGTAACTGTCACCTGATCACAATTTCCAACAGAGATCTTCAACAGTGAATCAATTTATCTGAATTTTCCTCATTTCTATCAACTTTTACGGCGTAATTTTCCACAAAT